GGGGTCTTGACCGAGTGATTGAAGAAGTCTTTGGGGAAGAATTTGTGCATCGTGATGGCAACGGACGATCTTTGTGTCATAATTTCATCATTCTCAACACTTTCATGTAGCTTTGAAGGTTGACGGTAGCTGCTTTGCCCTCTTTCCGATTGGTGAACTTGTGGAGGAGACGTATGTTTCTTGTGCATTTTCTTTGGAGTGACATAAGTCCATCCTTCAACTTCACTTGACTTGACTGACATGGTTTTGGAGTATGCCCCCAGCGGTTGAGGTGAAGATTTTGACTTGAAAGAGCCAGAAGTGACGGTGGTATAGTTTGACTTCACCATATCATTAAGATCTAGCTCGATGATCCCTTTCTGAGCCAACTTCATGATGAGATCTTTTAGCACAAAACACTTTTTCGTCGGATGACTAATGAAGCGGTGGAATTTACAGTACCTTGGACTGTCAGAACGGTTCATATCTTCCGGCCGTTTGCACTTAGGTAGGTCGATCACCTTTTTGTGAAACAAGTCTTTCAACATGGCAACCACGTCAGAGTCGGAGAATGGATAAGTTTTCTCCTCAAGCTCCTTCAAAGTGCGTCTACGTATCTCTTGATCACGAAAGGCTTCGGTTTGAATCGCCTTGCCTCGTGTATGGATTTTGACTAGAGTTGTGTTGATCGTCATTGCTTCCTTGGTGGGTTTCCACGCAGCCTTATCCACCTTTGGCCCCTTTGTCATTCTTGTAGTCGGCGATCTGTTCTTTATTCCTATGACGGGTGATGCTTAACTCCATATCATGGGCGCGGGTGGCTAACTCCTCAAATGTTCGTGGTTTGATGCCTTGAAGGATGTAGTGTAGTCCCCACTGCATGCCTTGAACGCACATCTCAATGGCGGAGGTTTCAGAAAGCTGATCTTTGCAATCCAGGCTTAATGAACGCCATCTATTGATGTAGTCGATGACAGGTTCATCATTCCACTGGTTTGTACTGGTAAGCTCCAGCATGCTCACAGTGCGACGAGTGCTGTATAAGCGGTTGAGAAATTCCCTTTCTAGCTGATCCCAACTGTTCATAGACTCGGGTTCGAGGTCGGTGTACTAGTCAAAGGCATTACCTTTCAGAGAGCGCACAAACTGTTTGACGAGGTAGTCTCCCTCCGTCCCAGCATTGTTGCAAGTTTCGATGAAATGGGTGACATGTTGCTTTGGGTTGCCTTTTCCGTTGAACTGCATGAATTTTAGGGGCTGATAACCCATTGGCATCTTCAAAACATCAATCTTCTTGGAGTAAAGCTTTGAGTACAGTACTGAGTCATGTGAGCTTCCTTCGTATTGTGTCTTGATGGTGCTTGCGATCATCTCTTGTAGCTGCTGGATAGAGAGAGATCCTATGAACGCCGTTGCTTGGTCTAGCTTCAGCTTCTTTTCGACTTTCTCTACTGGAGGCTCTTCTTCTTTGTTGACTTCTTTCTTTAATGGACCAACATTTGGGTCGACTTTCACGTCGAACCGCGCATCTAGTTGGTTGATGAGTGCGGCGATCTGCAAATCCTTCTCTTCCACAGTCCGTGTAAGCTTTGCAATTGCTTCGCTCATTTGAGCCAGTTGTTCTTCAACAGAGGTGACGCCGATGGTCATGACTTGTGCAACCAATAGACACGACTTTCCTTCAGACATTCAGAGTGCTGATGAAGAACCCCATTGGCCATTTTGGGGTGTCATCTTGTGCGCCTTAATAGCATGCTTTGGTGCCCCCAGCAAGGTCAGGTTGATGACCGACTTGCGCATTTGATGCTGCTCTTGCTTGCTTAGCAGTATCAACTTTGCAGCGGCATGTTGAGGAGTGGTTGTGGCACCAATGGATGCTCCATTTGTGGCGGAAGTGCTCATGCTTCTTCCCTTGGTGGTTACAAGAACGGCTTTTCCCTTGCTTGATGCCATTGATTTTGGAGGTGTGCTTTGGTTTTCTTGAACGGAGAAAGAGATGAGAGGTAGAGATTGTCCCACCGGGCGTGCCAAATTTGTAAACACGAAAAATTCCTGAAACAAGAATACGTGTACAAAATATATATTGTATTAATTAATGATTTTGGGGTTAGAATCTCTTTGTAATTTGATCCTCTGATTCGATCTCTGTAAGGTGTTGATTTGTGGATGTGCGATTGATCCAAGGGTCGTCGAGGCTTGATCATGGATGAACAGTTTGAAGTTTCTTCAAGGGCCGTTGGGGCTTGATCTTGAAGGTTGAGGGAAGTTTCTTCAAGGGGCCTTCAGGGCTTGATCTTTGAAGGTTGATGAACGGGTCTTCAAGGGGCTTTTGGGCTTGATCTTGAATAATGGTTGTGCGGATTTCTTCAAATGGCTTTTGGGCTTGACCTTGAAGGTTGATGGATGTCGGATTTTCAAAGGCTTTTGGGCTTAATCTTGAAGAACAATTGGATGTGTGGATTTGTTGAGGTTGTTGATCCAAAAGGCCGTTGGGGCTTGATCTTAGGATGAACGGATGATGAATGATGAACACTTTCTTCAAGGGCCGTTGGGGCTTGATCTTGAGTTGGTGGAAGTTCTTCAAGGGGCTTTTGGGGCTTGATCTTGAAGGAGAATTTGACGAAGAACGAAGAGTGCTTTCTTGATCCTTCGGGATTTGCTTGAGAGCTTTAGAGTTTCAAGGTTTCAAGGTTTCAAGGTTTTGGTGTGATGTAAATTCCTCTCCTTTCCTCTTGATGGAGAAAGCTATTTATAGGCCAAGAGAGTGATTTTTGGTGAAATGAGTGGAGTTGGTAGGTGAAGTAAATGTGTAATGTAGGTGAAATAAATGTGTGAGGTTGGTGAAGTAAGTGGGAGTTGTAGGTGAAATGAGTGTGTGATGTAGGTGAAATAAGTGTGTGAGGTTGGTGAAGTAAGTGGGAGTTGTAGGTGAAATGAGTGTGTAATGTAGGTGAAATAAGTATGTGAGGTTGGTGAAGTAAGTGGAAGTTGTCGGTGAAATGAGTGAAGGTTGTAATTTTAATACATTGGTCAACATTTATTTCACCAAAATTTCAATGTCTACACCCTGCTTTCACAAAATACACTTTCCATTTCGAGCAAACCCTATTATTGTTGGAATACATCCATTTGTTGAAAGTAAAAGACTCTTTTCAAAACCCTAGTAGTCATGGCCTTTTCTTATTCCTTCTCGACATATAAGTTTATCTTTTTCATGTTAATTTGGTTTATCATTTTAGTGATTCTAATGTCTTGTTGTTTTTAAGAGTTTAGAAATATCTTCCAGATGGAATGTTTGCCAATGGATTACAGCCATTCAGGCCCATTATATGGCCAACCAGAAGTTTGGGATTCCAAAGGAATTTTTGCTGTGGCACAAACATTTGGGACATCCAGGATGATCCATGATGCGCCATATAGAGCATCCCTTTACCAATAGTAAAGACATTGTTCATGGAAGCGTACATTGCCAAGCATGCTCACCGATCTTCACTATGCAAACTATTTACCCCTAACTACTAAGATCATTAATAGGCAAGCCAATTCCTCAACACTATAACGATCCTTACGGATCCTCCACTTTTTTCGACAATGGATTCAATGGAATATTTGTGAACCAATTCAACCAAAATGAGATGAGTGTGTGGATAACATTACCCACTAGTTACCTTAGTAGTCACTTTTGACTACATCTTGATGTCTCAAATCTCTATCACATATTTGTGATTTTGAATTTTTATAATGAAACTATTAACAACCTTTCTCATTTGGACATTCATTCTCAACTTTCTTATTTATCCTTTTCATCCTACAATTTTGCACAACGATGAAAACTATCTATTTTCTAAATCATCGTATAAAGATCATCGTTGTAAAAGATTAATTAAATCCAAATCATTTTAGTCATTAATCGATTATCCAACAAGAGTGGTGCTACATACACCACATTTGTGCACCAAATGATGTGTAACATTCTCTACCATGTAAAATTTTCCTACAATTATTTATCAAATTTCAACTTGATTTAAAGTACAAATTTGGTTGGTGCCGCATCATTTAGTGTACGAATTTGATGCATAAATTTGGTGTATCCCCTTCATCCAATAACTAGACGAGCCACATTTTTTTAGTTAAAAATTGAAATTACGACATGGTTCAACAATTAAACGATTGCATTTGATAAGTTTTTCCTATTTAATTGTTTAAATGGTAACCTAAAAATTTGACAATTCTGATCTTTAAAAAATATTTTAATAATGCAAAAAAAATTTTAATCTGAAAATTGGAGGTGGTTTTCTAAATTATCTATTGATTTTTAGTTTAAACTCGCAGGAAATTTGTAATTAACTACCAACAATGACAGAGTGAGAAATTATTTTTCAAATGCCCAATATTTGAACTTTTTGAATACCGTTAGCTTTATGATCAAAATATTTAATTTAACAAATTTATTGTTTGACAAAAAAAGTCTAATATTTAAGTGAATACTGCTACTTAGTACTACGGTCTAATGATATTCCTTTTCATTAGTAAGTGAGAGATCTTAGATTCGATTCTGTCAAAAACGAATTTGAATGACATTATTACTAACCTATTGTGAGATTAAATCTATCCATACTTTTTTCTTAATGTAGATAATATTATTTCTTAAAAAAAAAATGAATACTTTATGTGTCATATAATAAATAGAGACACACAAAAGATAAATGGTTTTCTCCACTTATAAACACCTCTCGAAAAACCCTAAACTTGAAAAAATCTGTCCTAACGTGCAAACAGGAATGCTGGTGCAGGTAGGCAGACATTACTGGTCCCTAAAAAACTGTCGATTTCAAGTTCACGGACACGTGCCCTTCCTCAAAGTCTTTTGCATCACAGAACGAAAAGTCCAATGTGGGTAGTTGTCTTCGTGTCAGCAATGTCCTCACCTCTCAGCATTTTCTGTCGCACAGAGACCTCTCCCCTGTGTGATGTAACATTATTACACACACCCTTTGTATACGTGTCCCAATTTGGAGAAAAAGCAAAAGCATTTCCCACACAACACAAGAATCTCTCTCCTCCTCTCCCTTTCTCTCCTCTCTCTCTCTCTCTCTCTCTCTCTCTCGGAGCCAGACAACCCTCCGTTGCCCCAGGAACCAGAGAGAAAAACAGCAAATTTGGCTGAGGGAAAGAGGAGGGTTCTTCAATCTTCACTCACTGACCATGGATTTCTGATTAGTTAGCCTCATCAGCTTCAGCTGGTAAGAATTTGAACCCACTAATTTATTATTTTTTGCAGTTTTTTTTTTTTTTTGTTAATTTTGGCTAGGAACTGATTAAGATCATGTATTATTAGCAAACCCAGATGATGTTCTGTCTCTGTAGAATCTGTTGTGATGGTTGTTGATGATTTGGGGTTGCCTGTGTTTCTTGGAATAAGGTGGAGAAGAAGGAGAAGAAATGTAAAGCAGACAACCTCAATTTATTTAGATTAGGTTGAGTTGTCTTAGATCCAGGAAAACCCAAGTTTTGTGTGAAAAAAAGGTTTCACCTTTGTCCGGGTTTCTTGTGATCTTGTAGGGTTGGTCTCCTTTTTCCTAGGTTGTTTCTCAAGAACCCTTTTTCTTTCTCTTGTTGTATTTATAGAAAAAGGTGAGACTGCTGTAATTTTCATGTGCTTATGTGGATATCTAAAGGTTGGTGGTGAGGATAGGGTTTTGGTTTTTCGTGGCTGATTCTCCGCCAGAAGGGGAAGAGTTTGGTGAGGTAAGAACCCTATATAAGAAACTCGATTCACCGGTGAAGTTCTATCACTAGGAGCTTATAGATCCCTTGTTTCTCAAAAGATCTGATTGCCCCATTTCATTTTGCTCATTGTTTTGCGGAAGTGGGGATATTGACCGAAATTAGGAACTTCCCTCCGATTTGTTGCTAGAAATTTACCCCATGTGATTGAAGGTAAATGTCAAATGTTACAAAGATAAGGAAATTGATGGAAGACATGTCTCCAGCAGTTGCAGTGACTCTTAGTTTAGGTAATTCGATATGTGATAGTTCTGGAATTGGAGCCAATGTGGAGTTCACATGGCTAAAGCTTGTAACAGACGCGGGAAATTTGTCTACGGATTCCTCTAAGGTGGTTTCTTTAGAGTCAGTCTCTTGCAGTAAAGGAAGTTCCGATGATATTGACAGCAAAGTTAGTGTGGTTCCTGTGCCATCACAAGACGATGATGGTGGAAACACTTCTGTTGCTAATGATATCATGGTTCAAGAAAGTGAGGAAGAGGAAATCTTAGCCTTTAGATATGATACTAATGGAATTGTTGGTGAAGAATTGTTGACGTTAGAGATGGGGTCTGCGATAAGCTTGCCAGATGCTGTGGAGATGGGAAAAGTTGGTGAAGGGAATATTGTTGCAAAAGCTATCGTCTTGGTAGAATCAGCTGTTGGGAAAATGGCTTCTGGGGTTGTGGCAGCAGTAAGCTCTGCTTCTGAGTTATCAGATAAATCTGAATTAACAACCTCTACGGTACTTATCCAGTCAACTGGTGAGAAGGTTGTCAGTAAAGCAGGCATCCGGAGTGTTTTTGAGCTGAACTGTATTCCCCTCTGGGGTTCTGTATCAATTTGTGGAAGACGATCTGAAATGGAAGATGCATTTGCAGCTGTTCCTCGGTTTATCAACATTCCAATTAAAATGCTTGTTGGTAGTCAAGTGTATAATGGAATGAGCCAAAGTTTGACCCACCTAACCAGTCACTTTTTTGGCATTTACGATGGCCACGGTGGCCCTCAGGTGCGCCTACTCTGTATATTTTATTTGATTCATTCAAGTTAACGTGTATTCTGATACAATGGAATGTATTTGGGAAATATTTATCTGATTTATATCATTCAACAATTTCACATTTTTATTGTGCAGACATATTGGTAGTTAATCAAACTCTTAACTGTTAGCTATATTAAATAGCATTGCGGTGGCAACACATGGTTCTTTACGTCAATCTGTTTGATCATTTTCCAGTATTTAGATCAGTTCATGAATGTGTTCTTGCATATACACAACAGAGTACAAACATTTGGCTCATTATCTTCATCGGTGGAAAATGATTTGAGTTCTGTCTCCTCGTGCAGGTTGCTAACTATTGTAGTGAGCGGCTCCATTTGGCTTTAGCTGAAGAGCTTGGAGGCATTAAGGATGACTCGGGTGATGGGATTATGGTAGAAACTCAGCAGGTGCAGTGGGAGAAAGCATTCACTAATTGTTTTCAGAGGGTTGATGATGAGATTGGAGGAAAAGTGAGCAGAGGCATCATTGAAAGCAACGCTGATGCTTCTGAAGCTAACTTTGAGCCTGTTGCCCCAGAAACCGTTGGGTCTACAGCTGTCGTTGCGTTAGTTTCGTCATCCCATATTATAGTTGCAAACTGTGGTGATTCAAGAGCAGTTCTATGTCGTGGAAAACAAGCAATACCATTATCAGTCGACCATAAAGTAAGCATGTGTTTATGGCTTACTGAAAATTTATCTTGTTTTAGAAACCAATCTCCTTTTATTTATTTGCATTTTCTTTTTTGTTATTGTTCCCAGCCAAACAGAGAAGACGAATATGAAAGGATTGAGGCATCTGGTGGCAAGGTAATACAGTGGAATGGACACCGTGTTTTTGGAGTTCTTGCAATGTCAAGGTCCATTGGTACGTCTATACTTACCCTGATACTGTAAACTTTCTTATATTTATCCAATCGAAAAGATATAAAATAGGGGTGTGCTATCCACACACCTTTTCACTTCTCACACATCCTCTTAATTTTCGGCCGTCGGATCAAATGAATTGAAGAAGATCAGAGATAGAAATTAATAAGGGGTGTGTGGGAAGTAAAAAGGGTTGTAACGATTTACCATGCGTGTTCGCAATATGTATGAACATTCAGTTGCTTGTCTAGTCTTGTCAACAAATGGATTACAGTTTTCTATTAGCATTTCCCATCTATATGTTAATAATGAGCTTAACAGCGTTGTACTCTTCTTATCGACCTACAGGGGATAGATATTTGAAACCGTGGATAATTCCAGAACCAGAAGTCATGGTTGTCCCTCGAGCTAGAGACGATGAATGCCTTATTTTAGCTAGTGACGGTCTATGGGATGTTATGACGAATGAGGAAGCTTGTGAAGTGGCTCGAAGACGCATTCTGCTGTGGCACAAAAAGAACGGGGTTACACCTGTTGCAGAGAGGGGAAAAGGAGTTGATCCAGCAGCTGGGGAAGCTGCTGCCTACCTTTCAACCCTAGCCCTCCAGAAGGGAAGCAAGGACAATATCTCTGTGGTTGTGGTGGACTTGAAAGCTCAAAGGAAGTTCAAGAGCAAAACCTAAAATTCGGAGGGAACTATTCACCCCGCGACGAATGGTTTTGGCTCTCCCCGTACCATCTGAAAAATCTGTAGACAGCGTGGTCCAATCGTTTTCTCGTGGGCTCAAATGTGTGTACAAGTATAAAAATCTGTGTTTACTATGTACTACTTCTGTAGAAACTGTAACGCAATGCCATGTGTTTTTCTGGTTTGTGCCGGAGTTCTAGATACCGGTTGTGTGAAAATGTGCTTGCTTTGCGTGTATTTTCGGATTTGTTTCGGTTCTGAGGCCTCTCTCATTTCTTTTGGAGACCCATCTTAATTTCAACTTATCCACTCTCCCTCATCACTCAAGGTTCACACCTAGGTTGCACGGACGCTTCAAAACTCCCAAATGTCGGTGTGTCAGACACGCTCCGATCACAGCTTGGACACGGTCAAGACATCGCAGGGGCCTTTTGTAAAATCTTAAAAACATTATGGGGGCAGTTTTGGAAATATAAAAACTAAGATCCAAAAGAGTTTCCTACCTGAACCTAATTTGTTGCTTAATTTTATTTAGGAAAATGAGTAGTAATTAAATGTGAATTCGAAGTATTGTTTTTAATATGAAATATTTATTATATTTTAATCGCTATGTCCGTGTTTTTATTTTTTGAGATTTGTCGTGTCACCGTATCCGTGTTCGTGTCTATGCAACATAGGTTGACACCAAGGACTTTGACTCCTAGTTACTTTAGAGACAATATGCCAATTGGAAATTGGAGCATTTGTCCCCTCAACTTTGGTCTTTGTACCAAGAGTTTTGAATATTAGTTTCTAAATTTGTCACAACCTACAGCAATGGTCTTTTTCTTTTTTAGTACAACCGTCGGATATTGCATACAAAATAAAGGGTTTAAAGTGAAGAAATGGAGATGATAACATAGTTAACCAAAAAGACCATTGCTTTGCTTCACATTGTGATAAATTCAGGATAAAAGCCACGGATTTCCAGTTCAAGACCATTGCTCCGTTTAACTGTCATGCCTAAAGGAGCACACTGCAATAAGATTCAACAATTAAATCTCTTTCCAGAAAATCAGAAGGCCAAACTTTGTAAAATTAGTGCCAGACAAGCACAGTAAAATCCATGCGTGCAGTCGAAACAAAAGAACAAAGATACAACGAAGCAAATCATCTCTTGCCCTTCTTCTGCCTCCGCTGCTCTTGTGGAAATTTCAGAGGGACGGGAAGGGTCGCAACTGGTTTTCCATTTTTCTTAGTCAACTTGCAACCCAGGTTCTCGTAATGATCCTTCACATTTGCTTCACCCATTCTCAGATCCTTTGCTATATCTGTCAACTCTGTCTGGAATGCGTCCACATGAAGAGTGAGCACCAAGACATAACTAATGAGAAGATTTGTTTTCTCCCTTGATAGGGTTTGCTTTCTTGAACCCGCCGCTGGATCAAACATATTAAGAAACTTATTGCGTAGACTGCTTGGGATTCTGTGGCCCTTTGCAGAGGAAACACCATCCATGGTATACTGATCTTTGAACTTTATAAGATGCGTAATATATGTGCAAATGCAAGCAAGCTTAAACTTCTCCTCTTCAACCTACAAGCATAGACAACACATCAAAGAAGATTAATGTTCTGTTTTCTCACCGTGAAAATGAAACGAGAAAAGAGGGAACATCATAACGTTTTAGCTCATTCTAGATTAAATGGGGAGGTTCCACTATTGCAGTTGTTAGGACATTTACAGGAAAACATCAACGGATGAAATACAAAAGATAAACTTTGCAGTTACTAAAGTTTCTTAGTATCAACATTAGAGCAGCACGAGAATCAAATTTAGGAACTTTCAATGGCAAGATATGTCCATTCATGTATATCATGCAGAAAAGTGGTACCATAATTTTTGGCGTTAAATTCAAGTAATGCTAAAGTAGAAAAATAACAGTTCATGCAATATAGCATTTTTCATTTTATATTAGCCTTTTTCCCCTCCAAGTCTTGAAATTGCAATCGACTGAATGATTCGCTATGCTTATAGAACAGAAAAGATGTTCAGGCTTATGCAAGACCTTATCAATGAACTTAGCATTATTCTATAATAGTGTAATGGCAAATCAATGAACTTAGGATTATTCTATAATAGTGTAATGGCAAATCAAAGTATATTTTCTTCACTAATATGCTCTCAGACACTAGAAGCCATTTTTGCATTCTTACCCGAATATTCTTCAACTTCTGGATTTTATTGAGTACAAAATTTGGGTAAGCATCCCATTTAACTTCATTTCCGCCTTGCAATTTATTATAAATATCTTGGACGTCATCCCACTCTCCTGTGATGATGATCTTGTCTAGTGGATAAGCCTCCTTGGGAGTTGTGGCAGATTCGTTAAATGGTGGGATATGGCGAGAGCTTTGGGCTTCAGCGCTTTCAAGAGCCTCCTTGTTTACCACAAGATGTTTAATTTTGGCATCCAAATCCTTTAGAGAATCAGGACCGTCTGCTTGCTTCAAGGACTGCATTTTCTTACTCTGCAATGTTATAGGAAATTCAATTAACATGGTACACTCAGCTTGATATATAGTATTGTACAGGAACTCCCAGACAGTCCCAGTTGCAACTTGCAAGTATCTTGAACCACACGTAGCCCAAGCTACTACCTCTACCATGTCTTTTTTGCTGAACTAATGCATCAACATTTTCGACTTTAGATAAAAGGAATACTGAGAAAGGTACCCTCACCAACATTATAGCTACCCAATGGTTATTTCTTGTCATTATATTGAATTCTTTTTCATTCCTCTTCAACCCTTGATCTATTAAGTTTAAACTCAACACTAGCCTCTAACATTGCAAAGAAGCTCTCTAACTGAACTAGAAAAAATCTCAAAGCAGTCATACAGAAAACACTCAATAACGTGGGAACCTAAAACAAATATAAACATTGCTCATACATATGCAGCAAAACACGAAGTTATTTAAATACTTCATATGTTTTCTCAAAACAAGCAGACTGGTTACCGCATAATGCATTAACTTTTGAAGAATAAAGTCGAAGCAAATTCTATGTTAGTTATGTACATGTGCACAAATTCTAATGTATCTTACTCGATTCAAGTACAAGTTCTAATGTTTTCTTAATAGACGCAAGGATTTTCCGCCATACCTCCACCACCACCCCATCATCATCAGAAAATGTTTGTGCTGATGCCTTACTTGTAAGCTCAAATAAATAAATAAATAATATAATATAATAGGGTCTTACCTCCCTAATAGACTTCTTTGTTCCATACAGATTATGTAGCTGCATCTGCTTCTCTGCCTTCTCTTGTGCAGTTAGTTCTCCCACCGCTGAAGTTGCAGGTTCCATATCAGAGTAGTTATACCCTCTAACTTTTGGTTCTAATCTAAATATCTGAAATTTTACATCCCAAGTAAGCTTATCAGCATTCCTTGCAAAGCAGAAGCAATGATAAATACACACACAGATTCACCTTATATTCCATTGGACCGAAGCGTAAATGTGAGATTATATACATTCATATAAACATATATAACAAATATGAATTAAACCCGAGATTTCAAATCGGACTCTTTGCAATTTTAATAACCACAGTTCCATTTCAGAAGAGCATTCAGTATACAATCCAATAACTATGCTCGTCATACTCAAAATAATAATAAGGTCCCCAACTTCTCGAATTACAAACCCAAACCAGAGCGAAAACAAAAGCAATGCCTCTGATGAAATGTTTCTCAGCAATGAAACAAACAAAACACAAATGTCAACTTCATGCCAATGCTTTTTCAATGCATCATTACGTCAATACATCAATACATCACCGAAATCAAACAAATCAAAACGAAAATGAAACAAACTATTAAAGTCGACCAGCCACCGGAAATTAACCCAACAAAAAACGAACAGTCCCAAAGCAATTACCTTGTTAGAAACAATAGGTACAATCTTCAGAGTCTGAGTGGCCTTATCAAGAACACCAAGCGCATAATTGCAGTACTGGTCACTCGTGGCCGCACCAGTATAGCTAGTCCCGACAAAATCAACATTGGTCCCATCCGGATGCATCACAAGCTCGACCCGTTTGGCTCGGTTGGCGTTCCGAAAGAGCCCGATTTTGGTCGAATTGGGGTCTGGCTTCTTGGTGGGGTCGAACCCAGATGAGAAATGGGCCACTATAGGTGGGGTTTTCTCTGGGTTTTCCGGGTAGACTTGGACGGCGGCTTGGACGGTTGGAATGGTTGGTACGGTGGCTTTCTTCGTCTTCCTCTTCTTGTGCTTGTGCTTCGGCGTCGATGTGTCATGGTTTTGGGTTAATTGGGACTTGGTGTCTTCTGCGTCGGATTCCATCTGTTCAGAGAGAGAGCCGTCAGTTTTGGAAGTGGCCTGCTGGTTTTGGAGGTTGATGGAAGAGGGAGTCGGAGGGTGGAGAGTGGGGGAGAGAGGGCTGCCGTCGTTTGGCGAGTTTATAAGTGAGGGTTTTTGTAGGGTTTTTTAATTTTTTTAATTTTTTGGCTATTGGTACCGAAATTGACATAACTCCTTATTTTGCTCTAGAGATTTAAAATCGATAAAAATTGTCATCCATGATTAATTATTTTGGTCATTTTGTAAAAATTATCAGTTAAATAAAGGCTAAAATGATCGACAAAAAAAGAGAGGCTAAAATGACAAAGTTATCATTATTCTTATAAACAATTGGTCAAAGTGATTAAACAAAAATTGAGGGTATTTTTATTATTTTCTTTCTTATCTAATAGATATTTTTTTACGAAATGACCAAAATGATTCATGTGAACAAACTCAGAGACTACTTCTATTGATTTTAAATCTCAGAGATCAAAATAATGCGTTATGTCAATTTCAGAGATCATTTTGGATAAAAAAAAAAAAAAAACCTTTCTATATTTAAATTGGAGAATATTATACAAAACATCTTAATTTGAATGATTTATTGTCTGCATCATCGTCTAAAGTAGTTCTTTATTTGAAGAATGTTTAGTCATTTATGCTTGTTAAACAAGTTGGCGGTTATTATAACAAATAACATGCTCATGATGTACATGTTGAATATATAAGTTTTACCTCTAGGAATTGAGAAAATAAAATTCAATATATAAGTACATAGTTCCATTCCTAATAATACTGAGGTCTTTTGTCATAAAACCTAACACCTAGCAATAGGTGGTTAAGTCGGAACAATACCAGTATGGTTAGGAGTAGGCTAATGGCCTGTCTC